TTCTTAATTACCTCAGTCAGTAGAAACCGACCGTGTTAATATTTGGCTTTGTTAAAGCAGAGGTCAGCCTTTTTCTTTTTCTTTGTATGGTTACATTGCACTAGGGAAAAAATAAAATTAATTGTCCAAAAAATTACCATATTGTAAAAAGAGTCAGTGGAGTAGAAATTCTATTCACTTATTGTTCTGAATGTTTCCTTTTACAGAAACTATGTGCAGCAAAGCAGTAAGGTCATTAAGGAAAAACAAAATACAGTACAGTATCCCAATTACGACTTTTGCCCAGTACAGAGGTTTGATCTCAGGTATCCCACAAAGCTGAACAAGGAGTTTTAGGCGTTCCCTTTTTCATAGTGACTAATAACTGTATAATGGGGTCTCATGGATTTGGATCTTCTAAGAGCTAAGGTTTTTCTAGATGGGTAAATCTGCTTCTAGTCCTCAGGTGGGGGACGCATCTTTATGTGGGCAGGGAGGGCCATTGTTTGCAGATAGGAAACCAGCATGTCAGGATAAAAGGTTATAATATAATTGCTTTTTAAGTACAGAATTTCTGGTGACTTTATAATGTCCACTGAATGAACACAGCATTGTTCAGAGCCCTGCTTCAGGCAATATACATATATACATAGGCAGCCTGCAGTTGCTTGTTGTTAGTATACATAAATTCATACATTACAGAAAGATACATACAAATGGTTATTATGCTATTTACATATATCTTATTGTGTACAAAATGTGTAAGAAGGGAAAAACTGCAGATAAATTAAAGGCAAATTAATGTAATTGCTGTTTCTGACCAGCAGTCTGATCTGGAAATCAGATAGAAGATGTGTGGTTAGAGCTCAAGACAGTTACACCAGCAGTCTGATCTGGAAATCAGATAGATGTGTGGTTAGAGCTCAAGACAGTTATTTTTGCAACTACAATTCCCAGAATTCCTCAACCAATATAGCCATGAGTGATGGTGATAACTGATTGTGGGTGCTTCAGCCCACTCAAAATGCAACTCTCCCAAGCTTGAAACAGACCAGAGATAAAAGGGTTTGTCCATCCATATAAAATACTTTGCTCTGCAGAATGTTTTAGCGGAAATGTCTGCAGAAGACCTGGCCATCTCTTCCAGTTCACTAGTCAGAAGTATGGATGACCAGGCTCATAATAACAGAGCCAACACTGGAAAGTGTTTATATATCCAGACCTTAGTTACATCACATCTTGATTACTTCAGTGCATTCTACAGGGGGCTACTCTGAAGGAGTGTATGACAGCTTTTGTGCTCGTGTTCAAAGAAGTGTCTTTTCAAAGTTGTGTTGATCTGTAATGATGTCTGTCCCTTGGTCTCACATGTTGAGTCTGTGCTAGCCTGGGATTGTTCTAATAGCTACCTAGAGTCTCTACCTCATAGCGACTAAACTTCTGGTGCACCAGTAATTTAACTGGAGCTGTAGTAGGAAGTAGACACCAAAACTGTGGAAGGAAAGAAAGAGATAGCTGAAAATAATGAGAGGTCAAAGAGGAACAAGGCAATGAGGAAGTAGTGTGGAGAGAAATGATATTATTTGAAAGTGCTACAGAAAACTTCAAAACTATCCCTCTCTCTCTCCCTCTCTCATACACACAGAGCACCCATGATCAGAGGTTATAAGATTACTTTCATATAGTAAGTATAGTTATATTTCTGGAACCCAAATTCACTACTATTATACTTACAATTTCTACAAAGCAATCCCTTGCTCTGCCCTTTCTCAAAAGTAACTGGAATGGTTAATCCAAAGGCAAGGGCATGTGATGCTTTTAATAAACCACTTAAAAAATAAACATAAAAATTGAAACAAATTAAAATTAGCTTTTAACCCATACATGTCTTCATCAGGCTTGGTATCACTATGCTATGAATCGTGCTGAAAAACAACAACAACACACAAGATGGAGCACAAGCTAGCCCATGAAGCATGTCACATTCTTCCTTAATCACTTCACAAACTCATATCCCGTAACTACAACGATAATTAAAATTACAGTCATACCACAGAAGAAGTGAAATTATACCCTTATTAAGTTACAAGCATAATGTAATGTAGTTATATATCTGTTGCAGGGGAAAGTAATGAATTACAAGGGGCAAGTCATTTGTAACTAATTATTTTCAAGCTCTGCTCATGTCTTTTTAGTTCACTGTGATCAGACTAGCAATGGTAGACTTTTATTTGACTCCTGAGCACATGTTCTCCTTCCTCTAAGAACTGGGAAGGATTACTCAGGATGTTTCTAAAGCTGTTGAGATCATATTAATAACAATCACCACATAGGTAGGGACTAAGGGCACAATATCTGAACATGAGGCATATTACAATGCTCATTGCATGTGACAAAAATGGGTTTTCTCTATGTTGTGTGGGTTCCTTATGGTAATAACAGTTAAACATCACTTAAATATCTAATAATGACTTATAATTCAAGTATCTAACATTCCATCCTCCATATATCACGTGTCTGAACATGATATATTACTCTCCCTTAAAATTGATTATTATTATTTTACTACCATATTGCTTCAATGGTCTGCTGCGCAAGATGGCAGAAGTGGAAATAATTTATACATTTTTCTTTTCTTTCCTCAAAAAGGCCAAACGTAGATAGCTGTATGTTGTGCTTATCAGGTATGTGGTTTTTAACTTTACTATGAAAACAATCTATGTGCCTTTAGTGATTAAAATTCTGCTGAGTACCCCAGCTAATGTGTGTTGTAAATTAGTAATTTAAAATCCGGATGGTTTCATTTCTAAATGCACTGCAGAGCTGAATAAACTGTAAGCAATACAGAAAGAAACAAACTTTCTTGAAAAGGAAGGGAGAAAGGGAAAAGCCCTATTCAAACACCTGGCATCTTATCTAGGTATTCTGTGAGCCTTACAATGGATAGAACTTCCAGTTTCAAGGGAAAATGTATCTCTGATGTTTTCTAGGTAGTGATCAGAGACCAGGTCTTTGTTTTCTTCTGTTTTTAGAAAGGCCTATTATCACTGTAAATCAATTCAAGAGATGAAACTGCAGTACAGTAAAACTACTGCAGCTGCACAGATTTGAATAATTTACTTTTTTAAAACTTTAAACATTGTGTTTTTAGTGATGGAACCTTTTTAAGGAGAAAGGTGGGCTCAGATATTTTAAATAAATAGTGAGCTAAGTTCCATGTGGCTTTTTGCTGTCCATTGGGTGCTATAGTGAAGAAAAGTGCATGATAATGTAATGTATTTTATACTGATTCCTCAAGTACAGGTTATCATAATCCATCTTTTCAGTAACTTTAACACTGGAGAGCCCAGAGTGTACATTTGCAAACAAAACAAAACAAAACAAAACAAACAAACAAACAAACAAACAACAACAAAAAACACCTTAGACCCTTCATGCATTCTGTTGTCCTTACTTGTGACTTGAAAAAATGTATTTTAGATTTTATTTTTCTGTTGCATGCAACTAGTAGAAAGATTATGCAAAAACCTATACAGGAAAACTAAAGTGAAAGCTCTATTCAGGGATTATTGTAACACCTTAAATGTGAGCTTTTGTGGACAAAGAGCCACAATGGTTGTTGTAGGTTTTTCGGGCTGTTTGGCCGTGTTCTTGAGGTTTTTCTTCCTAACGTTTCACCAGTCTCTGTGGCCGGCCTCTTCAGAGGACAGGAGTTAGAACTCTGTGTGTTATGGTGTTGTCCAGTACTTCTGTGTTTTGAAATAGGATTTCATGTCCAGCTTGTCTTGCAGCATGTTCAGCTACTGCTGATTTCCCCGGTTGTTTTAGTCTCCGATGTAGCAGAATCACCAGCAATCATTATGTTAGACTACAAGGGGGACCCATCAGCAATCATTATGTTAGACTACAAAGGGGACCCATTGAAATTCACAAACATTAGCAAAGCTTCAACAAAACAGAAGAAAGTCTAAAACTCAACAAAACCCAGCAATGAAAAATACAAACTGCAAAATGTCAATGAACTCTACCCAGCCACAAGGACCATTATCACTGCACACAAAAGACTAGCTAACGACACTCATCAATCAAAGTGACAGATCATCTTTCACCCTCATCACAATAGTACACCCATAACAAAAAGCACCCTGATCACCATAATCACCCAATCTCCTATCCCACAAGCTACACCAGAACACAGACAGAGTTCTAACTCCTGTCCTCTGAAGATGCCGGCCACAGAGACTGGTGAAATGTTAGGAAGAAAAACTTCTAGAGCATGGCCAAACAGCCCGAAAAACCTACAACAACCATTGCATCCCGCCTTCAAGAATACAAAAGCCACAATGTTTTTGTCTTTTTTATTTTTTATTTTTGTGTTGGTTTTGCCTGACATGCTAGCACAGACTAACAAAGCCATCTATTGTAAAACTTCATAAAGGATGTGAATGTTGGTTTTAAGAAACAAAGCACATACAGTACAAACAAAGGAACTACAGAAAGTTTAGATGATTTGTTTTTTAACAGTCAGTGTGAGAACAGGCATGGAGTGGCAATCCTGCCAGCACTGTGTGAACACTTGCACAACTACTCCTCTGCTCCATGCTTCTGCATTAGGATACGGCTATACTTTGTAAAAAGTACAGACTAGATCCATGACATTCATGGAGATGGTAGTCCAATGGAATTAATGGGACATTGGCAAATCAACAGTATTAAGTCCTATTGATTCAAGGGATTGATTTTAATTGGGACTAAGAAATATAGCCCTAGATTTTATTGAGTGCCATGGAACTGGGGTTTCATTTTTGTTTTTTGTTTTTGTTTTTGAAAGGAAGTTTCTAGAAATTAGCTTATTCCTTTAGTTTACAAAGTATAAGACAGAAAAAAAGCCCACAGAAAAAGTGAAGAGGTCAGCCCGGTCTCATGAAACAGCTTCTCTGATATTCACACAAACCTAGCACTTTGTATAGTAAAAAACACTCCAGAAGCATTTAAAGTATGAAAAATATATCTTTACTTACAATAAACACCTGTAGTTACAGTCATAGGAGAAAAAGAGGGGGAGAATGAGTCTCCAGCATGCCAAAGCTCCTTCATGCTTGCTGCTTGGAGAATGGTCAGGAGAACTGAGAGCTATCAACAAAACAAAGGAAGCAGAAATAAACAAGAAGAGCAAACCAGAAGAAACAAACAAATAGCATTTGCCCCTCAAATACTGCCTTAAATGCCAGAGGCAGAAAGAGAACTTCACCAATCAAGTCAGAAATAAAGTACAATGGTATCACATTGTAAAGCCCCTTCCCACTGATGTCCCTTATTCGGATATGCAAAACTGCTATTATCTGAATATATTTAGTGCTATCTCTTAAAATTAAATAAGAATAACTTGAAATGTGATTATGTTTGAGCTATGAAAAACTCAGTTTCCATGACCTTTTCTTCAGCCTGTCATAGGTCAAAGGCCAAAGTGTGAACATCCCAGACTGAACATTCTATTGATTTTAGAATGCTCACAATGGAAAAAGTCTAGCTGGAACATGTTCTAAAGTAAAGCCCAGAATACTCTTTGATATTGTATCTGATGTGATGTTCTGGTACAAACTAGCTCTGCATGCAGACATTGAAGAACAATGGAATCGACAATATAACCACATATGGATACCAAGAAATGTTGTGGTTCAGTCGACTCATAATTAGAGCAGGTCACCAAATGAACAGGGAGAGTAATTACAGTATGTAACTTGTTTAAGAAAAGCATACTGTATATACCAGCACTAAAGCATGAATTAATCACAACCCTGACAATGTAATAGTTAAACAAATCAACTGACCAAGTGCAGGAAGCAAAAATGAAGACAAATTAACTGAGGATAACAGGTACAGATAACAGTTCCCAAAAAATAATAAAATTAAGTCTGGATAATAAGATTAGTGGGAATACCTTTCTATGTCTCTAATTAAAAAAATACTAAACTATAAGCAGAAAACAAAATTGTCATATATCCAAATTGAAATATATATATTTTAAAAAGTAAGGCTTCTTTGTGCTTTAACTTCATAAAGCACTAGCTGTGTTTTTTATCACATGGACCAGAACACTGAGATGCATTCTGAATCTTCACAACATTTTATTTGAGCTCCCCATGCAGGAAGAATGTCTTTTGGCACACCATTTATTTTATACAACATTTAATTCAATTATCTATGATTACTCACCACAGACAGGGAATATAAACTCAGTAGTATTAATTTATTTATTGACTTTCTCTCTAATAAAAAAGACATTTGTAAAATGCAACCAAGTTTAGCTGTCATATAACAATTGGTTAATATTACACAACAGATAATCAAAGTACTTCTGTAGAAAATTATTCTTCCATATGAATGTATTTTCTATCAACTTCACTGAAAGGATCGATTGTATACTGGTTGATTTAACAGATGCCATAGAAATGATATATGCATTGTATATTTGGGATAGTTTTCATTTTCATTCATTCAGACTTCATTTCTTTGAAGTGGCTGTCTTTCACCATCAAATAGATAATGTGCTCGGCCTCAGAACCTTATCATTGTTAAGGATAAGCACACTATTGCACACACTGTCTCTCTGTATGTGAGTTTATGTGTAAGTAAGCAAGCCACTTTTCTCATCTCTAGTGACCTCCAGCATGAGGAAGACACCAAATCCAGAAATTTCCACGGGCATAGGGCTCGGGTCTGTAGGTCACTTATTCATAATGGTCACTGTTTATGAGAAAAATCACTTAATGGCACATAACAACATAGCTGTGTTGGTCTGCTGTAACAAGAACAACAGAGTCTGGAAACACTTGGGAGATTGTTGTTGTTGTTGTTTAGTCGTTAAGTCATGTCTGACTCTTTGTGACACCATGGACCAGAACACGCCAGGCCCTCCTGTCTTCCACTGCCTCCCAGAGTTGGGTCAAATTCATGTTGGTAGCTACGATGACATTATCCAACCATCTTGTCTTTTGTCGTCCCCTTCTCCTCTTGCCTTCACATTTTCTGAACATCAGGGTCTTTTCTAGGAAGTCTTCTCTTCTCATGAGATAGCCAAAGTATTGGAGCCTCAGCTTCACGATCTGTCCTTCCATTGAGCACTCAGGGTTGATTTCCTTCAGAATGGATAGGTTTGATCTCCTTGCAATCCAGGGGACTCTCAAGAGTCTCCTCCCGCACCACAATTCAAAAGCACAGTTCTTCGGCAATCAACCTTCTTTATGGTCCAGCTCTCACCTTCATACATCATTACTGGAAAAACCATAGCTGTCTTGGTAAGGTGATGTCTCTACTTTTTGAGATGCTGTCTAGGTTTGTCATCCAAGAAGCAGGTGTCTTTTAATTTAATGGCTACTGTCACCATCTGCAATGATCATAGAGCCCAAGAAAGTAACATTTGTCACTGTCCCCTTCTATTTGCCAGGAGGTGATGGGACCTGTGGCCATGATCTTTGTTTTTTTTTTATGTTGAGCTTCACAATATTTTTGTGCTCTCCTCTTTCACCCTCATTACAAGGTTCTTTAATTCCCCCTCACTTTCTGCCATCAGAGTGGTATCATCTGTGTATCTAAGGTTGTTGATATTTCTTCTGGCAATCTTAATTCCGGCTTGGGATTCATCCAGTCCTGCCTTTCGCATGATATATTCTGCATATAAGTTAAATAACGGTAAAGGTTCCCCTTGACAATTTTTGTCCAGTCGTGTTCGACTCTAGGGGGCGGTGCTCATCCCCGTTTCCAAGCCACAGAGCCAGCATTTTGTCCGA